TAATTTTATGCTACCAAAGAGAGAATAATTCTATAAGCTTAAAAGGTTTCAAGCTCTCCGGCTTATAAGATCAGCCTACTGTTACAAAAATCACAAGTATAATTATCAGGCTAAAATAGGCTGATGTCTTTCGTCTTAAGAAAATACTAATAAAACTAACAAAATCTGAGAGGTTGTAACTTAACAGACAAGTAACAGGATCTAACGGATTAACAGGAATATCCGTTAGATCCTGTTACTTGTCTAATGTTACAACATTTATATAACATTTATGATGATGGTATTGCACTCACAAGAAGCAGAGAAAGACAATAGATATACAACCAAGCCTTCTACGGGACTCGAACCCATACCCTTGGTTTCTGAAAGCGCAATGTATATTTTGATTGCAAGATTTTTCATTGATGCTCTATCGATATTTTTCATTCTATAAGCTGAAATCATATTGCAGCCTACAGTGGACATTCATTTTATTTAGAACTTTTCTTTACATTTATTTAGCAATGTTTTGTGAATTTTAAAACCAGGAGCTTTCACTTTGCTTATATAAATTATGATACTTAGCTTTTACAAATATTTGTAAATGATATACTTAAAGGTAAATAAAATATAATTTTCATTAAAAAGGAATTTATTTGTATATCAACAATTTTTAGTTTTAAAATTTTAATCAGCCGTAACGTCTTAGGTTTATTTTAGAAAGATTTATAAATAATACAGGTAAGGGAAAATAAGAGATAATTTTTACTTAGAATGAGTTTATATTTCAAAAACGTTTAATTTATAACAGTTTTCTCATCCGTAACTTCTAAGGTTTATTTTAATTAACAAGCTGCTTTCTGATGTTGAATCTTTCCTGCACTTCCATTGGTTCGCTTACTGCACCAGAAAATGTAAATGAAGTGAGTCAAAATTAATCGAAATGAGTTGGTAACTGTAACCTGGCATGGTGAAATTCTTTTGTTTCTTCCTGTTTTTAACACTGTGCTACGAGTTTAATGAGACGATGAGAATATTTGATTGAAACAACGTTAGAAATCACGGAATAGGGAAATCAGGTTGTTAAGCCTGAAACCTAAATCTTGAATTGCACATAATCTGAGTGATTGTTGTCTATCAACGCGCAAGAAACACAGCTCAGATTGTTTTCCTTCTGTGATTCTGAGCTGAAGTGTGAAATAGATCTTTTAATTTTTAGAGTCATTAGACTTATTGGAAGCAGAAAAGATGAAAAATATGCAACCGCCTTCGCCGGGAATCGAACCACGGACCTCTGGAATACCGGCCCAGCGTGCTACCGTTACACCACGAAGGCAAGCTAGGGAAGTGAGAGAAATACCTTATAAATTATTCTCGCATTGTTGTAATTAATTAATATTCTGGAAACGAAAGGTAACGATGGGATAATAATTTGTTCTACTATACAAGAAATTAAAGTAGTGTTAAAAATAAGCTATTTATTTAACCTTATAAACCCAGTAAATAAGCAGACGACATCTATAAAAAGAAATTGAGCAACCAGCTATTCTGGAGCGTCTTCATCAAAGCAGATCAACTTTCGCTTTCTATAAGAAGGCAGAAGAAATAAAGGAAGATAAATGACTGTAACCACATTAGACCGATTTAACGACAGCAGAAGCTATTAAACAACAAACCTCAGCTCAAACTCGAGATTCTCCATTAATATATCTTTTATTCTTTAAAATATTACTCTGTTATGTAAATTCGTACAGAAGCTGAAATCGTGGAAATGCAATGAAATCAATTCCTTTGTCGCCGAAAATAAAAGTGTCTATTTCAGGTAATTTCAGACTACACTAGATAAATGAGAGAAAAGAGGAAGTAAAAAATTTAACCCTGAATGCAAAAGAAAGTTTGTTCCATTTATGGCTGATTCGAAGGAATGAGAACAAGAGATGGAATGATGATACAATTTTCTTTGCAAAGAAGAGAATTAGGAATGAAGAAAAGGAGCTTTTAGTGTATTCCCATTCCAGCTCATTTATCCTCATTATTGTCGAGAGGAAGAGAAAGAAGAGTAGTGGTAAGAAATATAAATATATATATCGGCAAAAAGTCGAAGGTACCCTTTGAAGAAGGAATGCATTCCCTCAACTAACGTAGAAAAAATATTACAAAAATAGAGGTTTTTATAAAGCGGGTCTTGTTACATGCACTCATTACATATTCAATGCTTAACACGGCATAGGCACATACACTTGCCATGAACGGAGAATAAGAAATGATTCTTTGCCTTCCTATTTAAAAATTCCGTGTTCCCTGCGGTACGTTTCAGGGTATGTTAGGATGAAGAAAAGGGAAAAAATCAAAATAATAGAACAAAAAGAAAAATTCTAGGTTTTAAAAAAAGGAAAAGTAAAAGAGGGGGCATTAAGTACAAGGAACCTGAGAATAAAGAGTGGGCGGGTGGAGAAAAAGAGAATTAAACAGACATCGAAGGAAATAGATGAAGAGAAGAACGTATATATTCTCGAAGAAAAGGAAAAAGAACGCCCATCGAGATTTTATTTTATTTTTTGACTCGAGAGAGGGAGGTCGCATTTTTTTTTTACTGCCTACCTTGCTTCGTTAGGCGGCCTAGGTTAAGGAGTGATGGAGGAACAGAGAAAGAAATCATTAGTTCAGCCTCTGACAGTCCCTAGATGCTCTCCAGCATCTTTTAACTACATGCAAGGCAATAACCCTTTTGGCGATGTTTCTGTAACAGGAAGCTCGATTAGGCGCTTTTACTGCTATTTTGGCGAGTAAATCATCATGTTTTATTGTTTACATTCAACTTAATAGCAAATAACACATTTGAAAAGAATGACCATCTAATTTGTCTTAGTTTTGTTTATTTGAGGTTTTTGGTTTAAGAACATCAAATAAACAAGAAATTAAAATTATTAGCTATTCTTTTAGGACTTAATAAGAAATTTTGCATATAATTAGTAAAAGAAAAGCAAACAAGCTTGTTTGTCTCTCTCAAACAAGCGAAGGAATTTCTAATAAAATGAACATCTGTCTAAATTTATTTCTTCCGCGACTTCAGATTTGTTATTGAAGTGCGTTTTTACGTAACTAAAAAAAATGAAAATATGTTGCAAAAATTTGTTTTTGACTCACGTCTAAGGAAATAAGTATAGAAGTAATTATAAAAATAGTTAAATGCAAAGGCGAATTGAATTTAATAAGGAAAGGTAGTAATTTTATTAATACCATACATTAAGCAAAACTATTTAAAATTATTTATAAATAATAAAATAAAACTACGCTAGTCTTCACATATTACAAATTAATATATGTTGTTTACCTGATAGGATTTTTATAAGCATTCTAAACAATATAGTTATGTAAGGCAATTTGAGATTCTGCAATAGTATTTCTCATGAAATGTATAAACACCATCTCTTTAAATATCAAATAGACAAATTAAAAAGAAAATCTAAGAAAATTTTCCATAGCTCAATATTCTGAATAATTTAAAGACATAATTTTGTATTTTCGTGTGGTTGATTTTTGCGAATGTTTAAGAGTGTCGAATTTTATTACAGCATGACGCTTTGATTTTTTATGTTTTTATCAGATCTAAGCTCAATTAAATTGTCAGATTAGGGGAATAATTAAAATTGTTCTTATAATTTCCCTAACAAGTTATTTATAACCAAACATAAAGTATCATATATTATTTATTCTTAGAAAAAAATTACAAAGTTGTGAACTTATATTTTGTATTCAAATACGAAAAATTTCTAAAAACGGTGTTACATTTATTTTGAAAACGCCTTGTATAAAGTATTCCCAAAATTTTAGAACGATCCATTGCAATATGCTATCAAGTATTCATCGTCTATTTGTAGCGCTTATTCAACACATATTTGCTATTTGCAGCGCTTCCTACTATCTTATATAGCGGTTAGATAGATATATTTCGGAGCAGAGAGAAATGCTTTAATGCTCTTCTCGGGATTCAACATACAACATACTCGGGATAATCAACTATACTTTCCCGATATTTGAACTGCCGATCCTCCAATTACTGGCCAGATGTGCTTCCAGTTACTCTATGAATATACGAGGTAAGGAAGGAGAAAATCACTTACACATTGGTAACTGGAAATCCATAAATCTTCAATGCTAGATGATCATGAAGACCACCGATGATCATGGATTTTGAATTTGATAATTTTTGAAGGTCATCGAAGGTTACGGTCAGCGGTGTCTTCTGCTTTCATTTAATTTTAATAATTTATCTAAATTTATTTTACTTTTCTACATTAGGAGCCCATGTGTCTTATTCATTGACCTTCAGCCTATAAGTCAATGATAACGAGTGACGTTGAAGGTCACCACTGTTTAACTTTGTTTCAGTAATCTACTTAAACGGTATAATTCGAAGCATATGCTATTTGCTATGCATCCAGATGTCAGATAATATTTATCAATACCAGTAGCATTATTTTAATCAACAGAAACCATTTCTAATGGCATACATTCTGTATTGAGGAAAAAAATATGTATGTTCTTCTCCCCCTTTTATGGCTGAAATTTAATTTTTGATTAAAACATTTTGCAACAATTATTATCTTAAAATGCATTTCTCCTATTTATACTGTGTTTTTATGTTGCTCATCTGATTACATTTAAAAAGTTCACTTAACGCAGCGCTTTCTCAGCCTTTTTAGTTTGGTTATGCTAGCGCGTATGAATTCAACTGAATTTTGTTACCCTTTGATGAGACTAGATTCAAATTCTAGATAAGTTGTAAAAGTTTATAGCTGTTATGAATTTGCGGAGTAGGAGAATTTAAAATCCGTCCATTCGGAAGTTATGTCGAGAGGTCGAAGAGAAGAGAAAAATGATAAGAGACCACATATTCCATACCCATATCAAGCGAGATGGAGTTGGCGCTAATCAAAAATCAAGTATGTTGTCATTAATCTTTTATTTTACATAGACTTTTATCGAAATACAAGAAAATACAAACAAAAATAAACAACCTTTGCATCATGAGACCTCATCAGCGGTCGAGTGGTTAAAGGCCGTTGAATACTGGATTTGATCTCAGGTGATCAAGCTAGCTTATGTCCAATTTTCGTTGTTGTGTAGAGTAAAAGACGACCTAATTTCCTTTAGAATGTTTCCCACGTGGACATCTTTTCTCTTAGGTATATAGCCCTTGAGTGCTTTATCATAGTCCAATAATCTGAACTTGTGCACTATGAAATAAGGAAGAAATATCAATAAGGATAGGAAGAAACAGACAGAAGGGCATGCTCAAGACAAGACACAAGAAATTTTGAATACTGATCTGACAATAAAATAGTGTCACCGAATGAAAATTCTCCCCATTATACTTCTCGAAAATACCATTAAAATGTTGAAAATATTTTTCGGTCAAAATATTAATTGGATTATTTTGGTTTCCTGCGTATTTTAAATTGCCCTGGATGAATCAGAATTTTTAATTAATTGTAGTCGTCGTCTCTGCCATTACCTTGAATAATCTGGAATTGGCTGTATTTCTTATTAAAATAACAAAATAATCGTTACATTTATAAATATTAACCGTAATCTTCAATTTCAAAATCTGGAAAGCTATATATCTTTTCCAATATATCTTTGATCATTTTCCATTATTAATTCAAACGACGATATAAAAAAAATTTAAAAAAACATAGGTGCAAAAAATGCGAGCTAGATATAGCTTTTTCTCCTTCCTTATCCCACCCACCCCCGAAAAAAAAAACTGTGATAACTATAGAAATACACATTCTCTTATACCCTTCTGTCCTCGGCATCCCAAACAGGGTCCTCTCTTGAGTGCTTATTACGATTTTTAAGGGAGACTTAAAAAATATATTTAAAAAATGGTTGGAGGGGGTATGGAGAAAAATTGATCAAGCCTGCGATTCCTCCTTTCCATCCCCCCTTCCCCATTCAGACGATTTTTGCTCGTGTCACCAGCCCCCTACCCTCTTTGTCTATATCTTTCTTACATCTCCCGATCTGTCTATCTGTTCGTTCTGTTGTTGCTGATAGTAGGAGGTGGCGCGCATATCTTTGCTCGCGTTACTATAGTAACCGATGTATATAGATATATGAATCTTTAGAGTGAAAAAAAAAAAGTACCTTTCGAACATTACAAGAAAGAGAGAAACGTCAAAGTTGTCGATCGCCACCGCAGTTTTAATAACTTGGGATTTTCTTGCTTTTTCTTTTTATCTTCCCCTCGATTTTGCCCCCCTTGCTTTTCTTTCTCTTAAGGGCAGTTTTCTGCTACGAACGTATAAGGAGGGGACAGGCGAAGGGTGGTCGCTTCCGGAGAGAAAGATATCGTCTGATGCTGCGACCTCTCAAATATTCTCCAGCGAATGAAAAATCTTTCTTTGACGTAAGTAATTAGGTACGGCGTTTTTTTTATTCTTCCCCCCCCATCTATGTGTTGTGCCCCATTTTTATTATTGTTATTTCCAGGCTTCTCTTTAAATTCTCGTTACCATGGAAACAAAAAAGGTTTGTGAAATCACTACTGGCACTACAGCTATTGCCAAAAAAAGGGGGGAGAAAGGGTGAACGGTCAGGATTCGGCCATAAATTAAAAGCAGAAAAAGGGGATTCTCACCAGAAAAGGGGGAAGCATTACTGGAGTGGATTCCACCTAAAGGGCTGTTCTCCACCTCCCACTTTTAAGAATATGTTAATCAGGCGGGGCATGCACTGGTAGCAAGGGTGAAAATATCTTGAGTTATGCATATTGATTTTGACAGTGCATAAAATATCAGCACCCGTCATTAAAGGAATCGATAAAGAACTCGTTATCTTTCTACAATCATCTTGAGTTTTACCCATCGATATATACATATGTTCTTGTATATAATATGTATGTATGCCCTTGTATATATATATGAATATAAATACGTACATGTGCACATATATGCATGTGAGTATGTATGTGCATGTATACATGAATTCAAATTTGTATATTTAAAGCAAAATTTAATAAGATGATGGCATGAGATTGTAATTTAACACCTCAAATAACGGTTTACTATTAAAGTTTCAATATATATATATATATATGTTCAAGTAGATGTTCAAATAGAATATGAAAAAAGATGCAAGACTTTCAAGTAGAATATGAAAAATGGTTATTTTAGACAGATCCACAATTGCTGCCATCTTCTGGCCTTTTAATCTTTTGAATTCAATTTTCCTCTAGAAGACGAGCAGTATTTTCATATAGCAATATCTTAAATGGTTAACCTTCACGAGAATCATCTCAACTAATTCTCGACATATGCTACCAATTCTTTCATTGTAGAACATGAAGGAAATGAATTCTCTTACCATGATCAAAGGCACTTCTTTTATTTCTTTGGAATTAAGACTTTCTTCAGTCACAAATATAACCACAGATTGCTCACGATACTAAATTTAAGCATTTCAGAATAAACTAACTCCTCATTTTATTCCTTAAACAGCCAGAAAAGAATGAATACCATTTTCTTAACGAAACTTTCAAATTTATTCATTTAATATTTCCATTGTATACCTTCAAGAATTTAATACCAACTTTTTTATATATATGAAGCTAGAAATAGTTGAATTTACTTATGCGTATCATATTACTTGTAAAATATACTGTAAATACACTTAAAGATGTTCATGCATCTTTTATGTTAAATATTTTTATAGTGTATTTACATTGCGTTCAAATTTTGTAGCATATAAGACACATTGCAAAGTTTTTATGATCTGTTTTTGCAAGACCAAATTATCTGTCTATTCAACACCAGGATTAACATTGGTTTAATATGATACGAAACCTGCAGCTGTCTTATATGTTGTAAAGCCCACCAGCGGCCGAGCGGTAAAATCGCTCAACACTGGTAGTTCGGTCTGCGGTTCGAATCCCGCGAACGGGCTGGCCGCATGGGCGTTTTCGTGGTTTTTCCCATGTGTCACGTGTATAAGAGCCAGTTTCCCTTAGAAAGTCCTCCACGAAAGGCATCCCTCCCTTAGGCAGATAGCCCTAGTGTGCTTTGCCGTAATTTCAATACACACACACACACACTTATATGTTGTAAATATTAGAAGTAAAAACTAAGTAGACAGAATGTAATAAAACGAAATTTTTATGATATTGAATGACATAACAGACGAATGTTATGCTAACTATTCAAAATATTACCAACCTTTTCAAATTTGTTCGGTATTTCTGAGGGTTATTCTGAGGGTCTTAGGTCTCTGAATTATCCAAGACACTACGGACAATAACATATTTATACGAAAAGACGTCATAATGTGATTTGCAAAATTCAAGCCGGCAAGTTTTTAGAGTAAAAGAAACTATTACAACTCAGAATTATTGAAAAAATTCAAAAGAATGTAAGAAGAAATTAATTATAATACAACTATAAAATTCTTCAGTTTCGTCTAAAAGAACTTAACCACTAATAAGTTACAAACATAAAAAGAAAATTCTTAAAAATGAACTATGGGAATTTAGTTTGAGTAATATGAACACAAATGTGTATAATTATGAATCTACTTAAAAATTCCCTTGCTTCGACGAAATTCACATGTCTACAGATCGCCTAAAAGTTCAAATTAACCAAAACCTAATAAATGTAGATTGAGTTAGCTTACATTTATTAGGTTTTGGTTAATCATTGGAAAAGAAAAACCGACAGAGCTTAAGTTCATAGTAGCTAATTTTAAACAGTTAAGGTGTTAATTATAAATTACAAAGAATAATATATAGTGAAGTAAAATAAATTATGGGAATTATTTTTAAAATAAAGGAGTAATAAAACTTTCTCTAAGACAATAAAAATTTAATATAACAGTGAAAATGGCAAACAGAAATACACAGAAGGAAATACGTACGAATAATATAAAAATATCCATATATTCTCGAATTCGAGTCTGAATGGCTTTTGAATCTGTCGAATTCTTTACATAAAGAAATAATGAGATCAAAGAGGAAAAATACTTATTATTAAAATCTTTTAATTACAGAAAAACTTGAAATCTATGTTTAAAGAAAAACAAGCTTGAAAATATAGTTTCTATTACATTTATTCGGATACTGTACTTAGATTAAGCAAATAAGGTGCACATTTAAAACCACTGAATCTTGAAGTTTGTTTTTTGGGAATAATTTAACAAAATCCTATAAGTAATATTTCAGAGTTTTAATGAGTACAGACATTAGCATATGAAGCTGAGGACAGAAGAAGTCCGCATTGAGACTTTGCTAATGTAATCTGAAACAGTAATTAACAGATACATGCAGTTTTTGAATTTCAGTCTCCCCATACAAACTTACATCATATGAACTTGGATTTTCAGCTTGGATCATAAAAAGAAACTTAACAACATAACTTAACAACAAACTAAACTTAACAACAATACTAAATATTCCTTTTTTCTCGGAGATTTTTAGCCCAAAGTCGCAGTTTGCCCAGATGGGCTATTAATTTCGTTTCGGCATTTTACGTCGTCTACTATAATACGGTGTTTCACTTTTCACACTGTTGCCACCAAATATTACCGCTATGTATTATATTTAAAGAAACTAAACAATGAAGAATCTGCATAAATGCATGAAGGTTTCTCCCATTGTAAAAAACAATTGGTACATTAGAGCCATCAAATTTTGAATAACGTAGTCCTCCAATAGAACATGAGCACTTGGAAGTCCGAATTTTGAATTTCGAATTTGGCTTTATTATCTATTTCATATTTTGTAAAACATGTAAACGAATTTTTTATTAACAAACTCGATGATTTCGAAGCTAACAATGCCAACACTGTACGGTAAAAAACATTTTTATCTCTAGCGCACGAGTCTGTGGATCGGAAATTCTAAAGATATGCTCTTTTAAAATTATTTTGCGATATTGCTGTTGAATTGAGTTTTATGGTTTAAGTGCGAAGAACAGAATAGTTGATAAATAAAGTAACGCACAAAGCGTTAAAAAGCGCCCCTTCGGACGTAATATAAAATCTGAAAGGCTTTCAGATTTTTTTTCCTTGTTTGTTTGCTTGTATTCGTTCATTATTACTTAGTTGGAGTTAATTGGATGTTTAGAACAAAGTATTCTGAAAAATGTAAAGTTTTCAGTAAAAAAAAAAAAAAAAAAAAAATGTGTAGATGGAGAAAAGGGACATAATACTAAAGTCTGGAAGAATAATATGAATA